TGATTAGGCTCGATATATAGTCTTTTGTTTTGTTAAGTGACCACTACAGCTGAAATTACTGATAATCAGGTCTAAGTGCTCCTGTGGGTACAGTGGTTTTGTGTAAGAGACAGCCCAGAGTGCACTAGCAGTGAGGTTCCCCCACTGAGAGCTCAGCTGAAATCACTGAGAGCTGGGCAGAACCTCAAGAGACCAACCTGCAGAGGTCAGTGTCAGGTGGCAGTAGAAGGTGACAGCGCAGGGCCATTGGCAACAGAGCGATGAAGTGAACGGTGGCACAATGAACAACAGTGGCCAGAGCAAACAGTGAGCAGCTGAAGGAACAAGCAAGGTGCCTTCTTGCCCCCCACCTGTGAGGTGTACTCATGTGAAAGCACCTCTGAACTCTGAGTCTCCATTGACCAAGGACAACACCGCTGAGTGGGGTGAGGTGGAGGGGAAAATGAGGGGCACGTTAAATAAACATTTGTTTGTTTGACTATATTTTAGTGACTTTGCTCCAGAATGCTAGATTTGTGACTGGGACTGAAAACTTATATAAATGTGTTTCCTAGTAGGCCAAGCATTAAAATGCATTATTTGCCAAGGTTATCATCTCACATCGTTTCTATCTTGAGAGGTCATTATGTTGGGGAGTTTCCTTACTAAACATTTTTATTATTATAATTAATTTTTTCATAAGAATGGTCATACTGGGTCAGACCAGTGGTCCATATAGCCCGGAATCCTGTCTTCTCACAGTGGTCAAGGCCATGTGCTTCAGAGGGAATGAACAGAACAAGTAATCAAGTGATCCATCCCCTGTTGCCCATTCCCAGCTTCTGGCAACAGGCTAGGCACACTCAGAGCATGGTACTGCATCCCTCCCCATCCTGGCTAGCAGCCACTTGTGGACCTATTCTCCAGGAATTTATCTAGTTCTTTTTTTAATCCTGTTATAGTTTTGGTCTTCACAGCATCCCCTGGCAAAGAGTTCCACAGGTTGACTTTATATTGTGTGAAGAAGTACTTCTTTTTGTTTTTTTAAAACCTGCTGCCTATTAATTTAATTGGGTGACTACTAGTTCTTGTGTTATGTGAAGGATTAAATAACATTTCCTTATTCACTTTCTTCACACCCTAATCTTTTTCGTTGCCCATCTCTGTACCTTTTCCAATTCCAGTATATCTTTTTTGGGATGGGGTGACCAGATCTGCACACAGTATTCAAAGTGTGCATGTACCATGTACTTATATAGAGACAATATGATATTTTCTGTTATGTATTTTGGTGTATTTTGCATTATCCTTATGTTAAATTTGCATTATCCTAACAAAACATTTAATTTATTCATATCTCTTTTATACATTGCAAGTCAAAGTGAAAATGAAAAGACAAAAACCAATACAACAATTTTTCCACTCAAAGGCCTCAAAAACTAACCAAGGCGAAGCACACATCAAGAACCAAGAGTATATCAACATGTCATCTAAAGGGTCAAGTGGTATATCTACATCCGACCAGCCCAAAGCACAAATACAGCTACCTACTAAAGAAACAGTGTTTCCAAAACCTAAAGGAAGTTAATGATGTTTGTCGATCAAAGTGTTCCCATTTATGGAAGTTACAAAAGATGGTTACTGGTGTACCTCTTGCAAAAAAGCTTATGAAGAAGGAAAGCTTTTCAATGCTATAACCGGTAAAAGTGGAGGAGCATGGTCTGTCAAACCGATCAGGAAAACCAATGCTGACAAACTATGTAAAAAGGCAGCAAAACACCAGGCCTTTGGACTGCACCAACATGCAGAAAGCCTTATAAGCCCACTTTCAAAGCCAATTTTAGAAGTACTTAATGAGGCTGTTACTGGAGACACATCACAGTTCATGTGAACAAGCATGGCTGTGGCATCATACTTTCTATTTAAGCAAGAGATACCACACACTACAAACTGGAGGCCAATGTTATGTGCATTGCCACTTCTTCATCCTGAAGTTGAACACTGGTTCCAAACAAGACCAGCAAATGCTCACTATCTTTCTGCAGGAAACTCAGCTGACTGGCTAGAAGCATGCGGTGTAACAGTGAAAGTCTCAACAGCTGAAAAAGTGAAGAACTCTCTCACCATATTCAAAAAATTTGCACACATGGCTGATGAATGCACTGATACAAATGGGAGTCAAGTATTAAGTCATTGTGTACGTTATCTTGATGTCAGTGGTAGGTCAGTAGAGGCATTTCTAGATGTTCAAGTTATAGAAAACACAGCAGCTGCATCTGTGACAACCCACATCTTAGAAGAGTTAAATGCTTGTCAATTGGACCCCAAACAGATGGCTGCTTGTGCATTTGATGGAGCTGCAAACTTCTCTGGAAGACATGGTGGAGTACAAGCTTTGCTCAGAGAAAAATGTAACCCTAATCTCTCCTATACACACTGCAGAGGCCATCTACTCCAACTAGCACTAGTACGAGCTGCAGAATCTTCAAAAGATATTTAAAAAGCTATAAATTTAATGTCTTCATTGTATTCTTTTTTCAGGAAGAGTCCAAAAAGATTGACTATCTTGGAAAATATAGAAGATGCACTGAGATTGAAGTTCAAATTAGTCCAACCTGGGAAAACCCGCTGGCTTTCTCATGAGTGATCCTTGGCTGTTGTCTTAAAATTACTCCAGCCGTTATTACTGGCTTTGGAAAGTATCTACCAAAATGGGATGGATCTAAGTAGTGAGGCTGGTGGATTACTTTTGCTACTATGTTCAGAAAAGACTATTGCCATTCTCTCTCTCATAAATCTACTGTTGAAACAGCTTGGGTCATTAAACAATGTCATCCGGACATCTGCTACAACAGTAGTAGATCTTTGTTCAGCAATAGAAGTTACATTTGGATCAATCAGAGAGCTATCTATTGAAAAAGTACTGGAAGAAGCAAAGATTTCAGTCCAGAAGTTGACTAATGAAGGCATTTATATTGAATCCTTAAGTGAAGAGGACAAGTGTTTGTTAAGACAACTGAAAAAGTACACAGACTTGATTCTTAAAAGTCTACAACAGCGATTTCTAGATTCTATTCAACCTCTACGTAGTTTTTACAGATGCCTGTCCTATAAAACACCGAAGGCTGAGTGGAGTGAGGTGCAATGGGGCAGCCATGTGCTCAGGACAGAACAGAGAATTTGAACACAGAGTGGAATATCATACGACAAATGAAGATTTGACTTCAACTTCTTTTTTTATCATCACTAGTGGCCCGATCAGATCTTTGTACTATGTTTCCTGGGATGAAGGAAGTAGGAATTCATCTCTTGCTACTCCCAGTCACAACAGCTGAGCGTTCTTTTTCATCATTGAATAGAATTTTGTGTTCTGAAAAAAGTCACCTTCTGCTTGATCATGTGACTGAACTAATGAGCATATCAATTGGAGGAATTGAAGACACACGAGAAGCCATCGAAGATGAACGCATTGCATTCGAGAATTTCATTAACAGAGTTGTGCAAAAATTATAACAAGAAACCAAAAAGGATGTAGACGTAGTGCTTCATAGAAGGCTTGAGTATGCAACTTTAATTTGTGTGATTTTAAAACATGAGTTAAATCTAAGAAAATGGTCATGAAATATTTTTCAGTTTTTACTATGGTGCCATACAGCCCTCCTTCACCCTCACGGTCTCACCCCTTATCGGCTCTGACACGCCCTCCTGTAAATTCGACCTCCCCTTCCTAATTCATTTTAATTCCTGGGGAAAACACTGATTCAGAGTATTTCATTACCACATATGGTTAAATACTTTAGAAGTTATCATTCTTCTAAAAAGAAAGGGCAAATTATGATGAACTTCTGGTTACTATATTGTTAAAATGTTTATTTTAACAGTAGCACTCTGAGACCCTAATCAAATTCAGGAACCCAATATGCTCAGTGCTGTACAAATACAAATGAATACATGATATCTTCTCCAAAGTTTCCAATTCTATGAATGGTGGTATATGTCTAGGGCTTGTCTAGACTTGGGAAATTTCTGCCAATATAACTAAATCTAGGTGCAAATCCTTAAATCCTGACCCACTATAATGATGCAAAATGGGGTTTGGAACTTACTGTGTTAAATGTCATTCCATAGCACAGCATATACATGGATTCAACTACGCCCATGCAAAACAAAACAGCATAGCCAGGGCTGTAAGCTATGTGATACTACACTCTTTGACACAGGATGTAAAACATGGCAGTATTAGTCATGGTGTAACTGTTTACAAGAGAAAAGTATCCTTAAAAAGGAGACAAAAA